ATAATGAAGTATAAATAATTACACTCATGAAGACTAGTGAAACTGGATTCTGACAACAGATATGGCCCTCTGAAGGCCATTGAGAAATATTGGAATATATAAAGAAATAAGACACTTGATTTCTGGAAACTATTAACTTTGTATCACCTGGAAGGATTTGTATAAAGAATTAGGCTGAAGAACTGGGCAGATAGCTCAGCGATCTAAGTGCCTGACTAGCAAGCGCAAGGGCCCAAGTTTGATCCCTGGTATCACATGTCATGTGGGCCACAGGCTTTTGGGCGTGCCATGGAGGTCACCAAAACAGGTGAGGTAGCACACACCTATAATCCCAGCTCTGGAGAGGCTGAGACAGGAGGATCACTATGAGTCCAAACTGCATAGCGAGCCCCTGTACCAAAAAGAATAAAAATAAATATAAAATTTTTAAAAAGAATTGGGCTGGAAATGTAATATTACATTTGTCTTATGCATAACCAGCTGAAAGGAAGACAAACCTCTCATGTCCCATTCCCTAAAAAGAAAAAGGAAAGGAAGGGAAGGAGTGAGAAGCAAGAGGCCCACATAAAAGGCATGACTGAACATGTTTGAGGCGAGAGGTGAGCTCAGACAGGGAGAACAATTTATGGAGGACTTGAAGTACTCTGCTCCATGCTCTTCTTGCCTTCATGGTTTGAGAAGAGAAGTCAGCCATAATTCTGATGGGTTTTCATTTGAATGTGATCTGCTTCTTTTCTCTAGCGGCTTTCAGTATATTATTCTTGTGCTGAATTTTTGGGATCTTGACTATTATATGTCTCGGTGTGTTTTTAATTGGGTTGAGGTTACTTGGCGTTCTGTATGCTTCAGTTACCTGAATGTCAGATTGTTTCCTCATATTTGGGAAGTTTTCTGCTATTACTTCTGCCCATATTTTTTAATGTCATTTGTATTGATTCCTTCTTTCTCATTGATGCCTATTAGTCTCACATTGTTCATCTTTGCATCATCTTGCAGGTGATGGATTATTTTTTCCTGCATCCTACTTGTTTTTAGGAGATCCTTTCTTACCTTTTCACTAGCTGCACCAGCGTCTTCAAGATCAGAAACTCTGTCTTCACTTTCACTTAAACTGTTTTGCAAGCTTGTGATTGAGATTTTAAATTCTTCTATATCTCTTTGACTCTGCTTCATGTGATCTATTTCTTTCCTGTATTGCTCATTCAAGGAATCTGTCATTTTTCTAATCTCCTCTATTTTTATCATCAATGTCTTCTTTAGAAGCAGTTATTCTTTTACTGTAGTGTTTTTTTCAGATTGGGTTTCCTCCCTATGTTTCTGTAGTTGATTCTTTACTTCAGATACTATGAGTTCCAAGAATTCTTTTATTTCAGAAAATTCCACTGAGTTCCTCTATAACTTTCTGCTGTTGCTTATTTACTATCGGTGCTATTAATTCATACACTTGAGCTGAGCTAGTGTCCTCTACACTTGTTCTGGGTGGGTACTGGGTATCCTCCATATGTTTCTGCATTTGATTCTTTACTGCAGATGTTATTAATTCAGGGATTTCTTTTTTCATTTCCAATCTGAGTTTCTCTATACCTTTCTGCAGCTGTTTCTCTTTCAAAAGCCGTTGATTCATTGATTTCAACTGTGTGATTCCCAATTTGTTCTGTGTTAGTGTCCTCTGCACTTGTTATGGGTGGGCTTGGGTTCTGAGATTGCATTTTGTTCCTTCTCATTGGCATTTTGTGTAGCACTGTCTTCTGACCTTTGTTGTAGAGCTTTGGTGCAGTTATAACCTTAGCACCTACTGAAGTTCAGGTGCAGACTTACAAAGTTTAGATTTATCCAGCTGTGCCTGGCTTGGGTCTGGCTGCTGTGTTCAGCTCCGTCCTGCTGCTGCCCTTGGGGGTGAACCTGTTGTGCCCCTCTGGCAAGATGTTCTGCTCCTGGACTAGTTGGGTGGTTCTGTCCCCTACTCTCTCTGCAGGGACTGCAGTTGCAGGGTTTCACCTCAGGCCTGTATGCCAGGCCTGAGCTGAGTCTGAAGGGGACAAGGCACAGTAGGGGGTAGAGGCAGCTCTCCAACACACTCACTGGGCCTGGGCTAGGACTGGATCTGGGGGTCCCCAGAACACGGCAGAAATTCTCACTGGGCAGGCAGGGTGGGGGTTGCTGCGGAGTGTTAGGGGGGTTCCAAGGGGATGGAAGAGGGTCTCACCCTCGCTGTGCCTGGGCTGCGACCAGCAGGTCCCACTGGCACAGGGTAGCCAGAAGTTCTCCCACATACTCACCGGGCCTGGGCTAGGACTGGATCTCAGGGAGAACAATTTAAAGCAGTTGGAGCAGGCCCTTTTGGCCAGAGGCAGCAATGCGAACCTACTCTGGCTTCACAGAACACTCACGGGATATCTATAACAAGTACATAGCTTCTAAAAGATCTGGCTGCTTCACACACACATGCTCATTTTGCAAAAAGAAAGAAAGAAAGAAAGAAAGAAAGAAAGAAAGAAAGAAAGAAAGAAAGAAAGAAAGAAAGAAAGGAAGGATACAAACAGAAACCAGAGTCTCGAGTGAGTAGTGTGGCAGGCCACCCTGTAATGAGAATGCAGTGACAGTCACTCTCTCCATGTGGACAAGAGCAGCTTGTCTCTGTTGTTTAAATTATGTTTATATGACTCAATACTACTGCATTAATTTCCAAGTAATGCCTTTGTTCCCTTTATAACATAGAAAATTGTCATCACCTTTAGGAAAGAAATTTTTCTCAAGTGCCAAAGGACCAACTAACACTTTTGTACACATTCAGCACTCAAATAACTTTGGGAGCTACTACTGCTGCCAAAACCCTTTCAGAACATGGAAAATGAGATCTAGCGCCAGGCCAATTAGTCAGTTAGTGGGACACCTGCTCCTCCTTCCCATCACTTGCTTGCCAGCAGCAATACACTGGCAAGGTCCCGACAACTGCAGCTTGGCTGGGGGCTATCCAAAGAATGGGGCAGACAGCTACAGTCCACAGGACACCCACATACATGCGTGCACGCGCACACACACACACACACACACACACACACTCATATACACAAACTCCACACTGATCTCAGTAGGAGGCAAAGAACTCCAGACAAAGCAAACAGCAGGACTTGAAGACCTCTGCACACTCCTCCATCTGACTCTGCGGCTGAC